AACAACCTCAGCAGTGCTGCAAATCCCTCTCCAGCTCTTGGTGCTGGAAATGGGGCCTCCCGGGTTCACAGCATCTCCCATTCATGTCCTTCCTCCCCACCGTCTCCCCTCAGTCCAGGGTCCTCACGCTGGCCCGCACTACCACCTCCCCTGGAAAATGTGTTTTCCACACTCAGCTGCGTGATGCTTTCAGGTAACATGGCATGGGACTCTCCATCATAACCTCAAGTTTTCAGTTGCTCCTAATATTAACCATGTGGGCTCAAAGTGATGGATTTGTGCCTCTAGTTTGATTTCCTTTCCTTTCCTTTCCTTTCCTTTCCTTTCCTTTCCTTTCCTTTCCTTTCCTTTCCTTTCCTTTCCTTTCCTTTCCTTTCCTTTCCTTTCCTTTCCTTTCCTTTCCTTTCCTTTCCTTTCCTTTCCTTTCCTTTCCTTTCCTTTCCTTTCCTTTCCTTTCCTTTCCTTTCCTTTCCTTTCCTTTCCTTTCCTTTCCTTTCCTTTCCTTTCCTTTCCTTTCCTTTCCTTTCCTTTCCTTTCCTTTCCTTTCCTTTCCTTTCCTTTCCTTTCCTTTCCTTTCCTTTCCTTTCCTTTCCTTTCCTTTCCTTTCCTTTCCTTTCCTTTCCTTTCCTTTCCTTTCCTTTCCTTTCCTTTCCTTTCCTTTCCTTTCCTTTCCTTTCCTTTCCTTTCCTTTCCTTTCCTTTCCTTTCCTTTCCTTTCCTTTCCTTTCCTTTCCTTTCCTTTCCTTTCCTTTCCTTTCCTTTCCTTTCCTTTCCTTTCCTTTCCTTTCCTTTCCTTTCCTTTCCTTTCCTTTCCTTTCCTTTCCTTTCCTTTCCTTTCCTTTCCTTTCCTTTCCTTTCCTTTCCTTTCCTTTCCTTTCCTTTCCTTTCCTTTCCTTTCCTTTCCTTTCCTTTCCTTTCCTTTCCTTTCCTTTCCTTTCCTTTCCTTTCCTTTCCTTTCCTTTCCTTTCCTTTCCTTTCCTTTCCTTTCCTTTCCTTTCCTTTCCTTTCCTTTCCTTTCCTTTCCTTTCCTTTCCTTTCCTTTCCTTTCCTTTCCTTTCCTTTCCTTTCCTTTCCTTTCCTTTCCTTTCCTTTCCTTTCCTCTCCTTTCCTTTCCTTTCCTTTCCTTTCCTCTCCTTTCCTTTCCTTTCCTTTCCTTTCCTCTCCTTTCCTTTCCTTTCCTTTCCTTTCCTCTCCTTTCCTTTCCTTTCCTTTCCTTTCCTCTCCTTTCCTTTCCTTTCCTTTCCTTTCCTCTCCTTTCCTTTCCTTTCCTTTCCTTTCCTCTCCTTTCCTTTCCTTTCCTTTCCTTTCCTCTCCTTTCCTTTCCTTTCCTTTCCTTTCCTCTCCTTTCCTTTCCTTTCCTTTCCTTTCCTCTCCTTTCCTTTCCTTTCCTTTCCTTTCCTCTCCTTTCCTTTCCTTTCCTTTCCTTTCCTCTCCTTTCCTTTCCTTTCCTTTCCTTTCCTCTCCTTTCCTTTCCTTTCCTTTCCTTTCCTCTCCTTTCCTTTCCTTTCCTTTCCTTTCCTCTCCTTTCCTTTCCTTTCCTTTCCTTTCCTCTCCTTTCCTTTCCTTTCCTTTCCTTTCCTCTCCTTTCCTTTCCTTTCCTTTCCTTTCCTCTCCTTTCCTTTCCTTTCCTTTCCTTTCCTCTCCTTTCCTTTCCTTTCCTTTCCTTTCCTCTCCTTTCCTTTCCTTTCCTTTCCTTTCCTCTCCTTTCCTTTCCTTTCCTTTCCTTTCCTCTCCTTTCCTTTCCTTTCCTTTCCTTTCCTCTCCTTTCCTTTCCTTTCCTTTCCTTTCCTCTCCTTTCCTTTCCTTTCCTTTCCTTTCCTCTCCTTTCCTTTCCTTTCCTTTCCTTTCCTCTCCTTTCCTTTCCTTTCCTTTCCTTTCCTCTCCTTTCCTTTCCTTTCCTTTCCTTTCCTCTCCTTTCCTTTCCTTTCCTTTCCTTTCCTCTCCTTTCCTTTCCTTTCCTTTCCTTTCCTCTCCTTTCCTTTCCTTTCCTTTCCTTTCCTCTCCTTTCCTTTCCTTTCCTTTCCTTTCCTCTCCTTTCCTTTCCTTTCCTTTCCTTTCCTCTCCTTTCCTTTCCTTTCCTTTCCTTTCCTCTCCTTTCCTTTCCTTTCCTTTCCTTTCCTCTCCTTTCCTTTCCTTTCCTTTCCTTTCCTCTCCTTTCCTTTCCTTTCCTTTCCTTTCCTCTCCTTTCCTTTCCTTTCCTTTCCTTTCCTCTCCTTTCCTTTCCTTTCCTTTCCCTTTCCTTTCCTTTCCTTTCCTTTCCTTTCCTTTCCTTTCCTTTCCTTTCCTTTTTTTGTGTTCCCAGGAGCTTCACCTGTCCAGAGTGCGAGGTCCAGTTCCACTGTTGCTTGTACTCAGGCAGCTCTTGGCTCTTTGCAGCCTGGAATTGCAGCCTCATGTCAGTTACAAATCCCATGAAACCTGCGGAAATGCAGACAGGTTCTCAACAGAGAAAATTCAAGTTTTACCCCAGAATTCATTTACTGTCTCAGGGTGGATTGTCCCCACGCTTCATGGCCTGGCTGCAGTATTCACACGTACTCCCTTCCCAAAATGTTGGAAAGTATGGCTGAATAAAGACTTGTAAACACAAAACATCATCAGCAAGCAAACAGAATTATTTCTCCAATATCCTCCTGTGGTTGCCAGATATCTCTTGAAGCCAAAGACCAGGCCAGCTCGGTTCTAACCTCTTGTCATGATCTAGGCAGTGGGTGGGTAATGGTGAACCAAGTGTATATCATATTTCCCTCTAAGCAACTATTGTGTAGTAGCAAAACACCTACCCCAATAGCAAGATAATAGATTAACTTCCTTACACCAAGGCAGCAGGTTAAAGCCTTATGAAAACAACTTTCCAGTCTGTGATACAGCATTGTCTAATAGACAGTGCGTGGATGTGATATCAGGCAGTAATTACAATCAGAGGTGTCAATGGGCAAAGGCTAGGGCTTGCAGTTATGAAGCTGTGGTTCTGCAAAGATGATGGATAATGCCTGAGGGTGCTGAGCCCTGTACAGGACCAGAAACATTCTGGAAAGCACAGGGTAGTCTGCACAGAACATTTTTAAGGGGTAGCTTTATTGCAGAAAAATTTGCATCAGGCAGGATAATTGGGTTTAACCCATGCTCAACTTTATGACAGGTTGTGGCACTGTCTGTCTTCACCATTCCAGCCAAACGTCTGCTGTTCTCTTGATGCCAGCATGAAAAAAGGACGCTTACTCTGCACTTCAACAAGTCATGTGCTCAGGCCTGGATTTAATAGGTAAACTGAGTGGTCTGGTAGTGACAGCAGCCAGTGATAATAAGACACTTCATTCAAGACAGTCTCTTGATAGCACTATTGTTTTTGAGTTGCTTTCTGCAGCTGGGATGAGGAAAGGTGCAGAGGAAACCAGCTGCTCCTCCAGTCCTGCCAGGTGAACACTGGCAGAGCTGAGGAGCTAATGAGTGCCCTTGCAGATTTCCCTTGTGTACTACAGTAGTGGAAAAGGCAAACCCACTGAGCTGCTGCCGGTGGCCTGCTTGAAAGCGATGGATGAGGCAGGCTGCAAGTCCACAGCAGCACAAATAAAGTGGTAGAACACTACAAGAAGGTCACTTGTAGCAGCAACGTGACTTTGAACCACACTGAAATGACGTATTTTTCATTACAGGAAGATGAATAATCTGATAAGGTTACAGCTGCCAGTTATCAATCTTCTGTGAGGACTTAAGGTAAGGCAAATCTGAATCACATAGCTTATGACTGCACCAAAATCTGGGCCACTGCAAGAAATGTGCTCAGCTGTTTCTGAAAAAAACAGGCTTCACATATGAAAGTCAGCAAGCAATTTAATTCCTCTAGGTTATGAATGTGTATCGGTGGATGAAGACAAACCCTGACGATATGCAAATAGCCATGAATGGTTTTGTTTGCAGAAAATGTTTGGGATTGCTCTTGCCATTACAGAGACAGAAAGCATAGCCAGAAAGAATAAATCAAAGCAGTAAGAGTTTCAGGTCTGGGTGCAAACTAAAAGAATTTTGCACCACTCTTCCTTGAACTTGAAAAATTCACGTGAGAAGTTCCGCTTCGGAAAGAGATGGCAAATCGCTTTCACTTGGGAAGAAAACCGAGAAGATCGTGAGATCCCTTGGCAGAGGAGTGGCAGGGGGACAGGAAAAGAGGAACATGCGTCCTTTTTGATACCAGCAATTTCTGGCAGCTTCTGAAAGGAGTCCTGTCCAAGGAGTCACTGGGGAGGAGTAATACCTACAGAGGAACTGGCTAAATAATCAAAGGCCCCATCACTCTCATTGCTAAACACAAGGCCCTGGAGCAACTTATTCTGATAAGCTGTGCCAATAGACAGTACTGTGCAAGCATTTCTGTGCTGTTGTCTGTGATGTTCTGTGTATGATGATGAGACATAAATTTAGAAATCAGCCCTGTTTTCCCACCTATATCTTACTGGTTTTTTTCTCCCGCAATCCATTTTATAGCTGTAAAACAACAAGTGCAGTATGAAAAATGCATAAGATAAGGTAGGTCTGTAGGGAGGGTGTCTCTTTTATTACACCAACAGCTGGAGCAAACAGACAATCTTTCAGGCATGTGATCTATCTTTGGGTCTGACCTGCAGCCTGTTTTTTTCCCAGCTGTAACTGGCAGCGTAATAAAAGACATTTCTTCTCCTTAAAAACCTTGCCTCGCTTCTACTCCTAGACCTCAGTCGCTATAGCCGCCCAAATACTGCCACAAACAAATCAGTCAGAGTTTAGGACCCAGAGCCCTGTTTTAGTCTTACGGGATGTGACAGCTGACTGAAAATCAATGAAGTGTGATTTACAGAGCGTCATAATGAAGCAAGACAAGGCTCAAAAGGTGCTGCGTTGCTGTGCAGACTCATTTGTCTGCCTTGATTTTTAACTAGATTTTATTAATCCTCTATTAGGATGAGACCAATTTGCTTATGAAAACAAGAGATCAGATTTAAAGGAAAAGCCACAGTGGTGCCCATGGTTTGCCTAGTGCTCTTTTTGCTGTGTCTGAGCCACCCAGGTAAGTGCGATTTCTTCTTCTTCCAAGCTGAACTGCAGATGTTGAAGAATTTTTTTTTTTCTGCTGGCCAGTTAGCTGCTGCTTGCTGGGGCAAGGTAGATACTGGCTTCCCTTGGTCTTCTTGTTAACACTGACTAGCAAAAAAGGATTATATCAACTGCTGCCTTTGTATTGCAACCACAACCAGTTTGACAAGGTTTTAATAATTGGAATGGGGGAGTGGTCGCCGGGTAGAAGTTAAAAAAATCCTAAGCTCAGCTGTCAGTGCTACAGGGAGTTACGTGAGAATCTCGATCAACAGGAGAAAGACTGAAATGCTTCAGGTGAGCTGATGAAAGGCTAAGGGTCCTGTCTGTATTTCTCAGGGTGTTTTGCAAATTTGTATAGCAGACTCTCTGCCCCAGCACTCTTGCTCCTGCACCTGTGGGGAACTGCTCCTGGCATGGACCACAGAGAGAAACAGGAACCTGGGGGAGAGGGGAGATGGCAAACAGTGTGCAGTTACTTGTACATGAGGTAACCCGCTAGGGAGCTCCCCAACTTTTGCCTTGTCTGTGCATCATATGGTAAATTCAGGGATGCATCTGTCCTATGATGGCTTCTCTGTTTTTTCAAAGGCGGTGCTACTTTGTTCAGTGTTTTTGCCATGGCTTTATTTAATTTCATCATCAGATGGGGTTTGATCAAAGGAGCTGTTAGGTTATTTTTTTTTCTGCTTGATATGTCTTTCTTCTCATTAAATACTTTTGCTTTTAAACTGTCCTCCTGCAAATGCTGAGGCTATCTTATTAGCACCAGCATTGTTTCTTCTGGCTTTCTTCTTTGTGAGACTTGTCAAGTCCTTTTCACTCTTCTCTGTGGCTTCCCCAGCAGTTGAGAATGAACACATCCACCCCCCAAACCAGCTTTACCACCTCTATGCTATAACCTCTTGGAGCATTAGGACCCTTGGACTTTATGTGAGGTATGGGCACTGTTTTCCTATGAGGGAGTTCACGCACAGCCACGGACACTGTGCCCGTGGGGTGTGTGGTTGCATATGTGTGTGCAGGGAGTTATACTCAAATAAACCCAGGGCAATGTATTCCAGCATTAAGACAAAGCTGGTTTTGATTCTGCATGTTTTGGGGTCATGGATTTTTTTTTTTATTCAATGGCTTTCCTATTAAATTTCCCATGTTTAATAACCACGCACCCCTATGAACGTCCAAAAGGGAAAGTGAAAGGGCTGGGAGCCGGGGTCTCTGCAGAGACTCTTATGTGTCAGGGGATTAGACCACTGAGAGGGGAGACATATGTTCTTTCTCTTCTTTCAGTTGTGGATGCAATGCCTCTCTGGCATGTTTGGGCAGACAATCCAGCCTCCTAGGACAGACCCCAGTCTGTCCCCCATTTGCTGTGGTGGAGCTAGGGTTAGCCCTGGTGTGAGAATAAACCTTGGAGCAAGCAGAAGGGGCGTTTGTGGTTTCCTGGTTGGTAATAGCAGACCTAAGAGGTTTGTGACAAAGCAGCAAGACACAGGGTGGCTGCAGAGGTTGCTATAAACTGTATTGACAGCTGCATGAGCCTGCCTCTGGCTGTGGTGCAAAGCAGGTGGAAAGGAGTGTGAAAGCTCCCTCTGAGCAGCTGGCCTTCACCTCCCCAGGGTTTGGTAACCCCACCACAACTGCACATCCAACAACAGAGGACAAGCACAGCCTGTGCTAGAACATCTGACGGTAAAGTAATTGTTACCCTGTGAGTGGCAATCACTAGGCTTCAGAGTTTACGGCTTCTCAAAGAAGAATGGGCATTTACTGCGACTGGAAGTAGGGGGTGACAATGCTGCTTGAACCTTGTGCTATTCTGAGAGAATCCAAACTGCATTAGGGAGCAATTTTTTCCAATGGGAAGCTCTGGAGTGGCAGCAGGTTTTTGCTTCAGGCAGTCCTTCAGCTGTGCCGCTTCCTGCCAGGTCTCCCTCTGCGCATGGCCTCATATAGACCCCGCTGAGAGAGAGGAAGCTGCATGGCCTGTCTCACCCAGAAAAGCAGGAGCAGCTGCTGGGGGAAGGGGACACGGGCAGTGATAGTGGTCTGTGGTCACACCCTTTCCTCTGTGCATGTGGCAGAGCATTACCCTCTGCCTCTGGTTTCCTCTCTGAAGGGGTTGCTGGACTCAATGCCCTTTCCTCTCTCCCCATGGCACAGGAACCCTGCCAGGGGCTGCCTTACCTTTGATGTTTGCTGCACAGCGTGTGAGCCCCTCAACTGTGCCCTGCTGCCAGGGCTCTCCCATCATCCTGTCCTTGCACCATCCCTCGGTTGCAACTCTCTGCCTGCAGACCACTCCTGCACCTAATGGTTGGCAATCCAGACACAGGTGTCCTGCTCACACTGGGGCTGGCAGTGCACAGGTGGTGAGGGAACAAAGTGGGCCGTGGGCAGTGTCCTGTGAGGTCCTCTTCAACTGCTGGCACAGCAATATTGTCTGTGTCCCCCATGGCACAGGGCTGATCAGGACAAGGTCCTTTTTCCTCCATTGTGCCTTTGAAGAGAGGTGAAACCCTTCTTATACTTGGGTGCTCTGTGCGTGCAAAAGGGAAGAGGTGGAGGTCATGTCAGGACCTCAGCATCACAGAGAGTGAGGCTGGCATTTGGGAAAGGATGAAAGGTCTGAACTGCCTTTCCCCTATCATGGTAGCAGGGGGAAGGGGGACTGTGGTGGCAGGGACTGGGGGAGTCCCAAGTCTTACAGTTACAGACCATGATGGCCCCGTGCTTGGCTGTGGGCAGACCTGGGCCTGGCTGCATCATCCAGTTTCTTCTGCTGCCAGATGGAGCTCCTTTTACTTTTTGCTCTGCTGATGCTGTTGCCCACCCAATCCACCCCCCAGGTGGGAGAATTCACCTTTCTTACCAATTTGCTGCTATCCCTGGTTGACCCCAGAAGTAGGATTCATTTCCAAGTGCTGCAGAAGGCTCCCTCAGATTTGGCTTGCAGGCCCTGTAGCTTCCACTACCACTCCAATCCTTGTGTGGGGCAGCCTCCATTTCAGAGACATCATACAAACTGACCAAATTCAAGTGAAATCCCTGAAATGCTGACAGTGTATTGCTGCTGTTTCTAGCTGCAAGCCAACCAGCCAGGGATTGCCCCACAGTGACCAGATTTCCCCTGTGGCCCCAGCTCTCTTTGGTCCACCACAGGTATCTGAAAAAACAGAACTCTTTGTCAGAACGACATTTATTGGGCTGGATATTTGCTACTCAAGAATGAAAGGGAACAACTGATGCTGTGACCCTGCAGATCTTTGAAGAATAATAAACAAGATAGACAGGGCAAGTATGTTGACTCAAGACAAAACAGCCACAGAAAACAGAAACCTCATACAAAGTCATCACTGCTCTGGTTCAATGATTTTTTTTGTATGTGAGTTGGGCTTGGGCCGTCTTGCCTTCCCATCCCCTCCCCCTGGCTCTGCTGAGAGTCTGTGCATCTGAATTCCTACAGATTTTACTGACAAGAGCTGCGCAAAGATGAATTTGACTCACATCATCACTCTGCCTCATTTCTTCAGGTTGTGTCATTCTCCACGTCTGCTTTCTGTCATCCCTCCACTCTCTGTTGCTCTCTTCCAGATGTCACTGCCTTCAGTTCAATTGCTGAAAATGAAGACGCACTCCTCAAACACTTATTTCAAGGCTATCAGAAATGGGTCCGCCCTGTGGAAAACTCCAATGACACCATCAAAGTCCTTTTTGGATTAAAGATATCACAGCTTGTGGATGTGGTAAGTGTTGTGTTGGGCTTGGTAAAACATCCCTTTTGTTATAGAGAGTCGTTCATCCACCTGGGAGGGCTGGTAACGACATTAGCTTTTGCCTCCTGACTCATGAAATGAGAAGTGATGGTCAGGCAACAAAATGCTAAGCCTGATTCAGCTCTGATACAACCTCCTGCCCCATGCACAGCATGGGCTTGTTTATTAAATACTTATTTTGCAGCAAACCTGAAGGTCCTTTTTTCCCCACTGTTCTCAGGGAATAAGGCCTTATTGCATCAGGTGTTAATCAAAGAGTCCATGCTAGACAGTTGCTGGTGCCTAAATTTGCAATTTAAAGACAAGGCAGATACAGGACAAAGGTGAGGAAAGGTAGAGCTGGTTAGATGTTGTTCACTCTAAGCAAGCTTGCATCCAGGCCAAAGGCAGCTCATATCTGGACTCAGTTGACCACTCAGATAAAACACTAGAGGCAAAACAGACAATCCCATGGTTTTGCCCATGTGGAAAGTTTCCCTTTCCTTTCCCCTCCATCACTGCAATGCACAGTGGAATTTGCACAGCGCCCAGAGGTACCCATACAACAGTGTGCTCCTTGCATCCCCTGGACCCTGGCAGTGTCCCCTCATGCCATGGAAGGCAGACTCTAATTTTGTGTTTTATTTTCATGTTCAGGATAATGTTTCACGTTGTATCTTCCCAAACTCACCCCAGCTTGAGTAGTGTGGGGAGATGAGCCATCCTGTGAGCCCACAGCTCTGTGTGTCCTGAACCCGCTTGCCGGCTGAGCCCTGCTGCTTCCCTGCCCTTTGGCATCTGATGCCTTTAGGCTGCTGTGAAATGCCAGACCTCAGTTTTCTAGCCTCAGGAACTCCCAGCGAGAGCACGGACAGCACCTAGAAAGTCAGTTCACTTCCCCCAACAATGACTGAAGAGCACAGGCCCATGGGGAAACAGGACCATAGGGATCTTCTCTGCTTGGCACAGGGTTGGACTCAGCAGGCATAGGGTCTGTTTCTGCTGTTTGTTTTGGTATTGCAATCTTTTCTACCTTGTGTCACCCTAGGATGAGAAGAATCAGCTGATGACAACCAACGTATGGCTGAAGCAGGTAAATTGGACTGAATCAGACCTCCCTGTTCATTGCAGGGCTGCTGAGCTGAGTGGCCATCCCAGCCTTCTGCCCACTGTGCCATCCATCCCCTTTCATGAAGTCAAGTGGCCAGAAAAAAGCAGCACAATGTTACTTTGCCTGAAGATTTTCCATTACTCCTTTCACTTCAGCAAATGCATAAAGGGGCAGAAAGGCAGGTAGATGGGCCTTTAGGAAATAGGGTACCCTTTTCTCCTGGTCTGCACCCCAGCTGTGCACTGAAGCCAGCTGTATTTCAGGGAAACTACATCTCCAATACTGCAGTGGCTGTGTGTGCCCTGAGGGACTATTCTGTCTCAGACTTAGAGGTCACTCAAGTACTGTCTCTCTTGCCAGAGCTAAGAGCGGTGCGCCTCAGATAGATTTCTTCTTGAGCATAAGTAAAGAGAAAGAAAAGCCCAGCATGTTACTCCCCCTAAAATTAAAATCTATGGCAAGTTAATCAGATCTCTCTAACATAATTGCTTCTAGAAGTGACAATAATTTATACAAATGGGGGAAAGGTGCAAGTTGAACTGTTAGGTCTCTTTCCTTTCTTCTTCACTCCTGAAAAGCACTGCATTTGGTTTAGATTACATTGCACCATTTTATTGACCTTGTGACAATTATTTTAAGCCTCTCAGACATGTGAATATCTATAAACATGTCAGCTGATCCTAGGTAGAGGACATAAAACACAAACTCTACTTGAAATGATGCCATGGGAAGTGGTTACCAGGGATCACTGGGCTGGTGGAGGAGAAATGTGGCTCAGTTTTTGTTCATGGTCTGGTACCTGTAGTGCTGCAGTGAGTGTGAGCTTCTGGGTGGAGCAGGACCCCTAAAGGATGTATGGACATTATATGCAAAGACAGTCTCTCCCTTGAGGAGGGAGAAGCCCAAGCTTCCCCTTGCTGTAGAGAAGACAGGAATTTTCCCTTTTGCTGTGGAAATTTGCCGCTGATCTGAATCCAACTGCTGAGAGCCTACCCTGAAAGAGCTGCGGTGTTAAATTTTCCCCACTTTCAGCTGCAATTGCAGAACCCCTCCTGTGCTATGGGACAGATCTTGGCTTCCTTAATCTGAGTAGCTACTTGGGCAGACAGCAGAGCCATTCTACAAAGGTAACTCCTCATCCTTGTCTGTTCTCTCCCCATTCCCATCCTCTCTCCTTGCAGTATGCAGTACCTACCTCCTCCTGCAAGTCCAAGCCCTGCAGTCTGCAGGTGTAACATCAAAACACTTCACCCTCCTCCTTCTCTCTGTTCCTGCTAGTGTCCCCAGAAAGATTTTACAGCCCTTTGCAGTCTTTGACAGAATAGTCCTGGGTCTGACTGTCTCCTTCTTGTGGAGCCTGTGTCACCACTCTTGCTGTGGGAAGTCAGGTTCTGCTGCAGGTTACTCCAAACATGCTGCAGGAGGTAGCGACATGCCACCATTCACTCATTGCCTCTTGGGTGCAGGGGAGGATGAGGATGAAGGGGAAGCCACTTTATCTGATCCTTCCTCCTCATGGTGTGGCTAAAGAAGGACCTGCCAAGGAGTCTGCACTATAAACATGCAGATTTCTCTAAAGGCCTTTCGAGACTGTGCTCAGTTTTTAGCCAAGACAGCTCCCTAGGGTAACTCAGCACTGTACTTTGTGACTTAATTATGTGCATGCAGGCAGACATACAAGCTGCAAAGGAGCTTTTAGCAGTTGCTGAGAAAGTATCTGGGTTCGAGCAAACTATGGAGTCTAGGAGCAAAGGTTGAGAATCTGGGTCCGGTGTTTCTTGGTCCACTTGCTATGGGTTAAGCCCTTAAGGCCAGAGATAGGAATTTGGCAGAACTGGAGGAAGGGGAGAGCAATGGGAAGGGCTGGAGCATCTTGGAAGAAAGGAAGAAGAGGAAAGGGCTTTTCGTATCTGCTTCTACAGTTCGTGTCTGCATAGCCCATAGGGAGATTCCCATTTTCAACTGAACATCTTAAAAGTCTGTACACAATCTATTTTCTGCTCTACTAAGAAGACATACAACCATTTGCCTTGCAGACATGAAAGAGCGCTTTAGCTGAGAGAGAAATCAATGCAGAGCAGGGGGGAGGGAGGAGTATTGCAGATGCAGCAAAACCCCAGGCCAACAGGCTTCTTCAATTCAACTCCAGAGGGCTGATTATATCACCAGGTGGCTCACAGGGTATTTACTTCTGTTGTGTTAGGGCAGGCGATGAGCTAACTGTGTTGGTTACTTCTGTCAGCATAACAGGTGTGCTTCCAGCCTAAGCCCCCTTGCACCTATTACAGGAGGTGTCCAGGACACATGAGTCTGTGCCCACCTAATAGCCCAGGCTGTTATACCCATCCACAGAGAAAAGTTCACGTTAAAAGTGGTATGCTCTGTCCTTGCTGCGGAGGCTAAGGGCAGCAATGTTCCCTCTTCTCTTTCCACATCTGAACAGCTCCCATCCCTCCTTCATCAGCAGGAGGAGCCAGGGGTGGAGGGCTGTGTCTGATAGCTGACATCAGCCGTTTGGGCAGTTCAGAGAGTAGGTCCATATCCCTTCTGGTGCAGGTAGTGGGGCCATTAATCCTGCCACGGTATCACCCTGGGCAACTGCCTCCTTTGCTTGTGCCTTTGGCCAGATTTTAGGAGGGGTCTAGCAGTCACCTGCCCATGACCTTGGGCACCATCACTTTGCTGCACCTGGAGCAGGAAGACACTTGTTCTCACTGTCTGTTTCTAGGACTCTACTGAGGCTCTGGGTTGCTATCACACTGTAAAGGACTGCAGTAACAACTGTCTGTAGGTAGAGCCATGAAAAGCATGTGGAATCAAAGAAGTGGTTGAGTCACCATCCCTGGAGGCATTCAAAAGATGTGTAGATGTGGTGCTTAGGGACATGGTTTTGTGGTGGACTCAGCAGTGTTAGGGTAATGGTTCAACTCAATGATCTTAAAGGTCTTTTCCAACCTAAATGATTCTATGATCCTATGATTCTCAGTAAGAGGGGAACAATACAGTAGGAGAAGAAGCAGAGAATATAACTTTTTGGTTCATCCTTGAGTTACGGAGGAAATTGCCTAGAGAAGGCTGAGGCCCCACATCCCTGGGGAGCTCTTAGTGCTGGAGCTTAATGGAAAACCTTTCATCTTCTGCTTCTTGGTATTGACCACAGTCTGCAGCTCTTGCTTCCTCTCGCTGCTATTCCTGTGGGCAAATGAAAGCCCCCATCAATAATGAATGGGAATCAGAAAGCTGCTTTTCCACTGCATCTCTGTGGAAACCTCCAGGTTGCTAGAGCCACTTTGCCAAGATCTCCCCATGTGAAAAACAAAAAAAGGAGAGAAAAATTATTCTGGAGTTCAGTGTGATGAAAATCAATGGGACTCACCCTGCTTTTGCTCCTTTAGTGTTATCTCTTCAGGACTGTAACCAAATGCTTTACAATAGCATCATATTATTTTTCTTGCAATAGGGTGCAGGTCTTTCTCATGAAATAACAGTGATTTGGTTTGCATGGACAGTGTACAGATATGAGCTGGTTTATTCCGTTCACTGAAAAAAGCCAAATTTCTGCTGAAAAGCCATTGGAGGCCACCTCTCTCACTCGTGTAGTAGTAGTCATGCCAGCAGGCACTTCTATGTGGGCAGTGCCAGCCAAAACCACCATGGGCTGCTTCTCAGAGGGAAGAAGAGGTGCCATTCCCAAGGGGAGTGGCTCATTCCCTCTGGACTACCCCGAGGTGGGCTGGGCAGGGTGGTGAGTGAAGTGAGAATCAAGTGCTCTCAGGGAGTTTCTGCCTTGAGGTTGCCTGCAAAGGGGTGGGTTGCTGGGGCCTACCTGTGTCTGGAGGGGCAGTGCTTGTGGGGATTAACATCTTCCAGCAATGCCTGCCTGGTATCCTCTCTGCAGCTGAGCAGTCTTACCCCAAGCTCTGCCCATTGTGCTGTGCAATGCAGTCCCTCTGAGGCAGGCGGTGGGAGAAGGAATGAGCCTGTTTTGTATGAGTGGGCAGAGGATTCTGTTGGCTTGTTACAGGAATGGATCGACCACAAGCTCTCCTGGAATCCAGAGGAATACGGTGGGATCACTGCCATCCGTGTCCCCTCTGAGTCCCTGTGGCTTCCTGACATTGTTTTGTTTGAAAAGTGAGTAGCACGGTGCCTCACTCTGGGCTTAGGCCAGAGCTTGGTCAAGGTATGTCAGCCACCATGAAGCCTGCACGTGCTGTCAGAAGGTGTCTTCTTTAGGCAGTATGAATGGTGGCTTCCTTTGTGCTCCAGGTGATGGGTAGAAAGCAGAGCTGTGAGGGGGTAGGACTGGAGCAAATGTAGTCCTGAACTTGGTATTGTTTCTTCCTGTCCAATTGCCAGTGCTGATGGACGTTTTGAAGGATCCCTGATGACCAAAGTCATAGTGAAGTACAATGGGGTCGTGACCTGGACGCCGCCGGCCAGTTATAAGAGCTCCTGCACAATGGATGTGACCTTCTTCCCCTTCGACAGGCAGAACTGCTCCATGAAGTTTGGGTCATGGACATATGATGGCAGTATGGTGGACTTGATTTTAGTGGATGAAAATGTAGACAGGAAAGACTTCTTTGATAATGGGGAGTGGGAGATCTTAAATGCCAAAGGTATGAAAGGCAACAGGAAGGACGGGCTGTACACTTACCCATTTGTCACTTACTCTTTTGTGTTGAGACGCCTTCCACTGTTTTACACTCTTTTCTTAATAATCCCTTGTCTGGGATTGTCTTTTCTAACTGTCCTGGTGTTTTACCTGCCTTCAGATGAAGGAGAAAAGCTTTCATTGTCTACTTCAGTCCTAGTCTCCCTCACTGTTTTCCTTTTAGTGATTGAGGAAATAATCCCTTCTTCTTCCAAAGTCATTCCTCTGATCGGTGAGTATCTTCTGTTCATCATGATTTTTGTGACCCTCTCTATCATTGTGACTGTGTTTGTTATCAATGTCCACCATCGCTCCTCAGCAACTTACCATCCCATGGCTCCCTGGGTTAAAAGACTCTTCCTCCAAAAGTTGCCTCAGCTGCTCTGCATGAAGGGCCATGTAGATCGTTACTCATTCTCAGAGACTGAAGAAAAGGAAACCACCTTGAAATCAAAGCTCCCAGGGAAGCAGAAACACAAGCAAGTGAAAGACGGAGAAAAAATTATTATTGACTTTCTGGAAAAGGCAGCCGACTCCATTCGATACATTTCCAGGCATGTTAAAAAGGAGCATTTCATCAGACAGGTAGGTGAAGGGAGCGCGAGGAGGGACCACAGTTTCCTTGCAAGCAATGACTTCCGAACTCTTACCTTTTCCACATGCCTTTCTCTTTGCCTCTTCCTCCTGCTCTCATCTGAGACACATCCTGGGAGCTTCCCCTGCTTGATGAATAATATGCTTTTTGGGAAAACAGTTCAAGGAGAACTGTATTGTGCTGTGAGTTCCCACTCTTCACAGACTCAAGAGGCTACAGCAGCCTCTCCTGGAGGAATTCTTCTTTTGTGATTATTTGAATAATCTTGTCTTGTTTAAGTTGGTGATAGGCATGAATCTGGAAAACCTCTGAACTGTCACACGTTCTGAAATTGTATCTTTCACAACACTTAAAGGCAGGCTCTACAGCAGTTGCTAGGTCTCAGTCCTGGCCTCCCAGTGACTATACACAGTGTAGGTGTCCTGTTTTGAGTGGAGGCCTTCTGGATTTTCACTAACATCTGTTCAGATTAAACCCTAACTACCACCTTTCTCCTCCCAGCAATCTGCCTGGCTATTGCAATAGCAAATTACTGTGTGCATAAACAATGCATCTCATGCGAGGGTAGGACAGCAGAGAAATGCACCTAGCAGCATATGGAAAGACAAAAACTTCTGTTAGCACCCTCCTAGCAAAAGCCAGGGCTTTGTTCCAACTGTGCTGGGAGGACTTCAGCAAAAAGATGACTAGTAATTCAAACATGCAGTACATGAGCATATAGAGTCCATAACTGGTTGAAGCTGAAATAATTTTTAATAAAAAAAGTCCCTAGAACTGCTTTTCTAAATAGCTCTTTTGTGTGTTCAGAGTTGTGCCAGTACTCACAATGCAAATTTCCCCTCCTGAATGCGCACAATCCGAGCCAACAGAGCACTTAAGCAAACACAAGCCAAAGGGACCACTTGTACTGGAAGCAGTGTCTGTGTGTGCTGTGCTGAAGTGGTCCTGGCACAGTCCTAAAGTGCTGTGCTAGAGCCAGGCCCTGGCACTTCAAGGGAAATGCAGTTCTGTGAAAAGAAATCCAGTTCATTATAAAGCCATCTTTAAGCTTGAGTCTGTAAACTTTCACATATGCACTTAGCTAAAAGCTTTTGCACGGGCGAAAAGAAGTCTGATTACCATGTGCATAAAACTATGGAATTGTTTTGGTGTTTTGAGTGACTTGCAGCTATGGGTACTGAAAAGGTGATCCATACCAGTTTTAGGATACAGCACACTACAAACTTCTAATTTCACAAACAGACTTTTGGAGCTGACATATACGTAGCAGTATCAACAAAGTTCTGGGCTCATTAATGTTTCTGTTTGTTCTCCCTCTCTCCTTCCCAGGTTGTCCAAGACTGGAAATTTGTAGCTCAGGTCCTGGATCGTATCTTCCTGTGGTTATTTCTGGTGGTGTCAGTGATGGGTTCCGTTCTCATCTTTACCCCTGCGTTACAGATGTGGCTGAATAGCACTTTGTAGAAAACACTCCCATAGTAGCCTATAACAAGTACAATGCCAAGAGATGGTGGTGCTTTTGAGGTTAGTCTCTGTTGTACAGGATGGCAAGCAACAGCCAGAATGAGGGAAGGTGATGGTAACAGTGGGCATTGACTAGTGTTTTCTATCTTCATATAACTCTACCAGTTACAGATTTGGCTGAGAGCAGAGAAGGGCTTGGTGTGCAGCCAAGTCCTAAAGTGAATTGGGGTTGCACAGCTGGGTTGTAAGTATTTTACTAGTAGCTTGGTTATATTACAATAAAAGCCAAGATTATTAGTTAAAATTTGAAATAGTACTTCTGGCACAATGATTATGCTTAAGAGGCAGATCTGTCAGTTAAAATGCTACTTTATGAAAGAAGTTGTAGGAACACAAATCAGTACTCAGTTTATCTATATTTCCAAGTAAAACCCACAAAGACTCTACAGATTGCTTTGTGCATGTGTCAGAATTGGCAACTGCACAGCACGTGGATCAGAAAAAGTACAAATACCTTCTAGGATTCGATGTTTGAAACTTTGACTCTGTGGCCTCACCTAGCTGCAGGATCAGCTCAACAGTGGCAGAACTTACCACTCTGCCCACCTGCTACCAGCCTTTACAGCATGCACACTTCGTTTTTACTCTTGGCCATCAGGAAGCTACAAGGTGGTACCCGCTTTTCAGTATTATTTGCAGTTTTGCCTGCTACTTTGTAATGTACCAAAAGGATGAACAAGTAAGGATTTTCCCCATGCACCGCATTTAGAAATTATGATTCCTGCACCTGCTTGTTCATAAAACAAGTGGAAGTGGAAGATCACGTGAAGCATATCGCATGGAGAAAAGCTGTATGCTACTCCATAAGGCAATAGTGATCTTCCTACACAGTTCAGTTGGAGGGAAGCTGCAGACATTGCCTGCAGCAAATGAAAACTTGTGGTTGGTGCAGAAGTGGAGTTTCTTCTGAGAGCCGTTGGGTGGGCTGGCTACTGGGAAGATATTTGGGTGTTGGCTTGCTCATGTTCCCCATGCAATTCAGAATTTCATTTGTTTGATTCATATAAACAGAATCCTTCTGCGTGATTAGAAACAGCTCTTAAAAGTATAAGTGAGACCTGACAGAAAACGCACAGGTGAAGTTCTCACCACTTTTGCTGGCACAGTGATTTGCCAACACAGAGTGCTTTAGAAAATCCCATTCAGAACTTGCAGATGTTTTCAAGGCTAGCAAGGAATTTGGAGATCCAATTCTCAACAATCTAAATGTGAATCTGGTGTTAAACCTTTAGCTAGCCTTGAAACTTTCTCCCTAGGGATGGAGGTTAGAAGGTGTTAAAAACACATGGTAGTTTCCTTGTGCTTGGATTATATGTGCACACCAGACCTCTGTGAGTTCATATCATCCCATCTTGTTGTGTCACTGCAGAAGATTCTGTTCACTTGTGCAATCATTATTAATAAAGGTGTATTCAGCAAATGATTCCTGGAGTGGGAGTGCTCATATGTGGGGCATATGTTGTTGTTTTGTTGTCAACAAAGTCTAGATTGTAGCCCATTTTAAAAGCCTTGTCTCAAACCTATTCAAACAGAGGGGTTGTCACATTCTTGGGAAATCCTCATAACTTTTTAGCTCTGTGTATGAGCTTGAGGAGGGAGCATTCAGATCTGGTTATTATATTGCAGGAACCTAGAACAGACCCATCTAGTTTAGCGTATACAGATAGATGTCTTAACATAACACACTGGTATAAAACTCTTACACATTGACCTTACTACCAGCTGCTCCTCTCTTCTTGCATTGTTTAAGTCAGTTTGCTCCCCTGGCCAGTACTACGAAATATCCACAGGAAAACAGCCAGGAATCTCTTCTTTCCAGTACTTACAGACTCCTGAAATCCATTAGTGACAGGTTTTCTCATTGAGTATTGCTGCCAGGGGTCTGCCTCTTAGCCATAAGAGATGACAAAATCACCTCCTGCGCAAGTGCTTCAGGTGTTTAGCTGGCAGATAGTCCTGTCCTCACCTCACAACATTTCAGTCACCCACCCGCAGGCAACACATGGCTGTGTCTCACATGGCTTATGTCTGATGGCAGGCTGCTTTTTCTGGCTTATGCTGGTAAAGGTCAGCAGGGCTCAGGTCCTTTGAGTGGGAGATGTATGAACACTGCACAGGTATGTCTTTTGGCCTCTGGTCTTCTTAGCATTGTATGTGGGCCTGCTACATCTGTAGTCTCACTACTCACTATTTCCTTGCGCTGTTTCTGAGCTTCCCTGGATCTCTCCGCTGCTGGCCCACAAACGCATTCAGCATGTCCCACAGCCTGGCCTGCCACTAAAAGTACAACAAGGGAGGACATCTGGGCAGACAGTCCTTAGATGGGCTCCTTCCGTCTGCTCCACATGCTCTGCCTGTGAATGACAACACTGCAAATTTAAAAAAAAAAAACACACCAGCAACCCACTGCCTTACTACTACCTCAACACTGCCTTGATTTCTGAGCACTGGTTTGCAAGGGCCTTGGCACTGCTTGGCAGGATGATGTGTATCATCCATTCACCAAAAGAAAAATATGACAAACTCCTCCAGGCCTTTTAGTGGGGGGAAAGTGGAAAGATGCTCTCCCTTGGGAAAAGAATGTAACAAGCCAGTCAACCTGTTGCTTGGGCACGGTGTGCAACCCAACTCAGTGTCTGGGACAGCACCAGCTCTGGTTGTAACTTTTCCTAGTATTTCAGTTAAAAAGTCCCCCAACAAGAGTTGGGGCAAGCAAAAATGTCACTTCTGTGTGGGTTCTTCCATGTCTGCTCAGAGGCGAGCCCTCACTGCACCTCTTCCGAAGGTGAGATGCTTATTGTGTCCCCCATCCCTACTATCTCTAATCAGCCAACTACTTTCACAAAGCTGACAGGAGTGCGCAAGGCTTGAATGTGCCAAACACAGCTGAAAATGGCAAAAGAAGGATCCAAAAATTACTGGGTGGGGGGAAGGAAGGGAAAATAGTACACTTGCCAGAACATGACTTTGTAAATCTTACTTTCTTAGGATACCAGATTGATCAGCTAAACTGTGCAAACCCTGTGTTTGACGACCAGAGGCAAAACACAGAGATGTATAGGACTGTAAGTGACAAAGACAGGGAGCTGGTGCTGGGGCATGGAGGCATCCTAGCTGGAGATAAGGAGCTGTACAATTGTGAATGCTTTGACAAAAAGCCAGGGGTTTTGCTGAAGCGAGCTTACTGGCTCTGAGGTAGTAGCTGTCATGCCTAAGACACCAATGCAGTACACCTTCAGCCACAATATTTTCATTGTTTGTACGGTCATAGACTGCAACAGTGAATGCTGGCAGTCAAGATGTCTTTCCTGTAGAAATGGAGCTTTCTGGCTCAGAATCCAGGTCACCTCTTCAAATTTGCTTCCTTTCCCCTCCCCTACTTTATGATTAAAGAGCCAGCATAGCAAACGTCATTTAGTAGCACCTCTAAACACATTCTACAGCACAGATATTTTTTTTTTAAATACAAATTCTTCAAGAAAGTATATCCCAGGAATGATATTTAATTGATAGGCTGACAAAACAATCCATGTTTGTTCATACATCTGTCTGTCAGTCGCTACATAATTATGCAACATCTAGGGCTATTACAGAAAATACAGTTTTCTTCTAGAAAATCATGACGTTACATATTTCAACTACTGGATTAGGACAGTTATATTCTTGTCATTCCACCTTTATCTCCAACATATACACTTATTCTTTATTTTAGTGCATCAAAAAGAGTAAAAGGCCAGTCAGGCACCTCAGAAACAGGGAGTAATACTTTCCAAGGAATTGTGATGTTCAAAGCAGAGACGGATACATGGCAGACACAGAGAACACTGTACGGACACTGTACACAAATTCTGAGCCTCCTATAAGAGAGAAGGACTTTTTACTCTTGAAACCATTGGCTTTAATTGGAATGGTGCCTTTTAGAGAAGAATCTTTCAGCACAAAACCAACAAGAACATAAACAGACGACAGACCTGAGGATAAATTGTCCACATAGCATAGAAATGACATCAGGTGCACATTTACAAAGTGTTTCAGGATTAAGTGCGCTAGCATTGGGAATCTGGTTACACAGCAGCAACCTCAGCTGCAAGGGAAGTGTCCCTACAGTTACAGGTTTGCACACAGAGCACTGATCCATGAGGAGTCAGCAAACAAAATCGCTGCAGAGCTGATCAGACCAAGCTGTCCACTTTTGCATAGCATTCATGATCACCAGCCTTCTCCTGCTGCAATGTGTGTAATCTGGGTTGGTCTTGGGTTTTAAAAACACGGGGAAACTCAGAGCAATCCAATCCTGTCAAGCCAATTCTGTCTGTGATGAGATAGGCAAACCCTTCCCTGTTGGACTTATGTCTGAGCCTGAGCAAGCAAGAGTGGTCAGAGCAGAACCTGTGGACTGGGACCACTTTTAACCTGACAAGAGAAAAGTGGCTTGGAAATCCTACTGGAGCTCACCAGGGTCTTGGTATTCTGTATCAGGAAATAAAGGAGAGTTTGATCACCTGCAAAGTTAAGTGGCAGATAAGTTAGTTTTTACAGGTCTTAGAAGCACATAGATTTCAAATGTGGATGCCTTACATGGTCACCAGAGATAGTTCAGGTCTTTTCTGGTTTTCCATAGTGCCTCCAGGTTATCCCTCACTGCTGACTTGAGGATGCTTCAAATGATGTCAGCAAGGCTACAAGCAGTGCAAAATATTAACTCGGTTTGTCTTCAACTATGATTAAGTGCTTAAGACCTGTCTGACTTAAAACATAAATGTAAACAGAGGTTTTGTTGATCTGGGACCCTCATTTGTGTACATACATTGCAGAAGATGGGGACTCCTTATAGAATCATAGAATGGTTTAGGTTGGAAAGGACCTTGAAGATCATTGAGTTCCAACC